TGACCCCAGGTCAGACCCTGGACTGGAGGACACTCCACCCGCCGGATCCCCTATCGTCTTCGCCTAGGCAGCTTCATTGCGTGCGCCTCCACGGTCTATGACCAATAGGCAGGCCCTAGTGCTGGGATTCGACTCGCTATTGGTTGGCGGAGCCATGGTGAGAGATGGTGCGGTGCAGGCTCTCAGCACCAGCGAGAGCTGTGGGCGGTTGTTAAGGCGACCGTTCGTGACGTAGGGCCGTCAGGCCGAGCCAGCCCCAGATGATTGGCTAGACGATCGGACGATCCTTCCTTATTGGCCGCGGGGTCGTCCGGTGCCGAGCGTGCGTAGAGAGAAGGTTCCTTCCGCTCCGCGTCTCCGTTGACTGGAGACGGGCGGAGCGCCGGCTCCCGGGAACTGAGGCCTCTAGTGAGATCCGGAGGTGAGGAGGGCGGTGGGTGGGAGCGGGTTGGGGTCGTGTAGGTGGAGGTTCTCCAGCTCCGCCCGACCCTGCCGGGAAGGGGCAGCCGGCACCTCCTGCTGATCCGGAGGGGAGCTGAGCGGGAGGTTTTGCCCCGGGTGGCGCCTCGGTCCGGCGGGGACTGCGAGGAGACGTCCTTGAGGCGCAGCTGGCCGAGCGGCGGCCCGCATCCATGCCGGGGAGCCGCGGGACAGGCTAGGCCTACGGGTCGGACGGGGAGGCCCGCCTCTTCGGGGCTGCGGTCGCTGTTGATGGGCCGGTGGGGCATCGCCGCGTTCCCTGGCCCTGTCCGAAGCCGGCGGTGCTGGCTGCGCAGTCATGATCGTTGGGGTGACAAGGGTGCCAGGCGGGGTGACCTCGGAGTCCCCTTGATTCGATAAATTCTGGGGAGACTGTGGGGCAGCCCGGCCCGCAGCTCGAGGAAAGGACGCGAGAAAGTCTATATGGTTCCGTGGTTCACGCCTATGCTTGCTGTTCTTACTGGGTTTACGCCCTGGCGCTGCTGTTCGTCAGCACCTTTCTGTAAAGTGACGGATGAGATCTCTATAAATGCTGCTGACTAGTTCAGAGCTGTGGATCTGCATAGATGCCTCCGGTTATTTCCTGGAGAAACGAGTTGAGAGGATGCGAGAGCCCAAGGTAGAGACTTGCCCAAAGACTTAAACGATTGTTCTTTTGAGAGGCGTCTTCTCGGTGTTGATTGCTGATGTCCTTTAGTCTAAATTCTGTAGGGTTTTCGGAATTATTTGGTTTTGGTATTTTGGCTAGGAGAAACGTACCTTGGAGATTCACAAATAGAACAGTCAATTTTTGCGGCACGAGGAAGTTGATGTACTCCAGCTTAAATGGTCGTTTGAAATTGTTCAGGGATTGAAGACTTGCCTTCTCAGCATCACAGAATGTAGAGAATGTATTTTTGTTGATGTTGTTTGCTTGTGGATTGATTTTTCTCTTCATGCAGTGAGAAACAGTTTATGATTTAGAGGTAATGTAGCAAAGACTCAAAGTGTGCTTTGGGGATGGACTGGATTTTGAGGGCCTTCTTGGTGGTTGTGTCTTTTCAATTTGTGATAAAACTTGGCAGTAAAGACACTGAGAGTAATATGAAGGCTAAAAAATATGCGAAGATTAACATTAACATGTGAAACATTAACATGTGAAAACTTCGTGTATGCGGCATGAACATTTCAAGATGAAGTGTGTGCGCTCATATTTCATGTCCTCTTTTTATTCTTGTATGATCTATTTCCTAGGCTATGAATAGGTAACCACATCTGTATCAGTAGCTGTTTAGGTTGACCATACGAAATTGTTGATATTTGAAATTTGACCATCTTTCCCCATACAAAAAATAGCAGTTTCATATGGTTCACTTAATACTTGCCTTTGTTAAAGAACTTTGGAGCTCTAGCTTTATAAGTGAATAAAAAGATATGTGATTTACAAAGAGGCATCATGCCATAGAATTGAGTGTAGAGTCCAGGTTTCCTGATTCCAGTGCAAGAACTTTTTTCCCCCCCTAAGATACTGGGTTGAGCAGCAGAATGCTAATCCTTTTGGAATTAAAAATGACTCAGTACAAGACATGGTTCCTGCCCTCAAAGTGAAAAAACATACACAGTAATTAATTTAAGAACAGTGTAAGATAATATATAATCAAATACTGGAATATATAGCATAGCAAGAGTACTGAGTGGGAGGAAAGAATTAGAATAGGAGGCCAAAGCATCCTTTTCTGCAGTTTGCCACAGTAGGTGGTTTTTGTAGCACACTGGATTAGAGTTTGGGGATTCAATTTAATTTAAGTTATCCATTCTTTTGAGTAATCTATGAAATGTTTGCAGCATACTTCTGTCTGTTTGGGCAAGGCACACATTGCCTAACTTGATTTTTAAATTTTTTATTATTTTTTTTTAACTTGATTTTTTTTAACTAAAATTTATTTTTATTGCAGCATGGCCTAAACACTTTGAATTTGCATGAGCCATCCCTATTCTTCTAGTGCCATTTGCAACTGCTGATGAAGTTGGAGGATTGGATTCCATGCCATTTAAATGCTTTGCATAATCACAGGGATATAGGGAGGTTGCTAGTGGGAAATGAGATATGTGTGCAATTATGGTGACTTTTGACACACCTTTGTACATTTGGTTACTCATTTTGTGTTTCCAAATAGGTGAGCTTTTCTGTGTTTGGGGATGGTTCATGGGATTCTGTGTCAATCTTTACCTGAATGTTGCAAAGATGACTTTACACCTAGGAAAGAAATGTCCCAGAATTGACAATGTTACCATGAAGCTTTTGAGGGAAAACATAATGTTCCTAATAATATTGAATAATGCTCAACCTATTTGTGATCAAATTGGGGTGCCTTCTTGCTAGCAGCTCAGATTTTAATTCTGCTGAATTCACTTTCTGATAGTGAAAAATATATTGACTTGATAAGAGAATACTTTTAAGTTGAGAAGGCTTGGGAAGAAAGGAGTATTAAAAATTTTGACCTAGTTTTGAAATGTATTTTCAGTTAATTCATCTTCTGGAACATTGATGCTATTAGACTAGTTTACAGGGTTTTGGTCTTTGTTTTTAAATATGAAGAAGTTATGTGATAGAAGGCCAGCATGAAAATCTCGGCTCTCATGAATTTTTTAGTTGAAATGAAGTCGAGTTCAAATCTAAGAAGCGATTCATATTCTCCAGTATTTCCAGTCCTTGCTAATTTAACAAAAGATATTTTTGTTATTGCTCATTTTCCAGGATAGTATAGAAAATATAACTTTTCTTCCCCACACCCTCCTCCTCCTTAATATGTTCTCTGAATGCAGAGAACTGGGGCTCTTGAAGCGGGGGGAATTATATCCATACCCTAGGGCCCTTTAAAAAAGTCATCGTTTTAGGTCAGGTTCAAGATGTGTCAATAACATGCACGCTACTGTAGCGTAAGAATTTATTTCTAAGTAGCAGGTATTTCTTGAGCAAGTGCTTTTAAGATACATGAGTGCAAGGCACTGGAGGATGAAATGAGGAGTAGAACTCAGGGAGGACGGTTGAAAAACCTGAAGAGACACAGGCAGATGCACGCCACATTTACATATCTCAGTGCCTGCCAGCCTTTTAAAACTGAGACCCACATTAAGAAATACATGTTATGTCAGAAAAAAAAAAGAAAGAAATACATGTTATGTCAGAAGCCAGGACATACACTCATATCTATAATTTCATGAAACATAGTGTTTCAGGAAATAATACCTACCCATACCACATGTCTAACCCACAGCTATTTTTTTCTTTTATTTTAAAATGTTTGTTCTGACTCAGAAACTTGTTTTCATGATCTTATTGATGCAGTGAAGGGATTATGACCTGCAGTTTGGAAACCAGGTATCTATATGGTGGTCTGGTGTGGCTGAGGTGTGAGAGGTGACTCTTGGTAATTGTTCTGGTTCCTAAGTGTCTCTGATTTTCTTTTCCCTAATCCTTTAAATAGATTAATCCTTTATTTTCGTTAGTTTGATGCTTTTTTATTTTCTTCTTCCATAAACAGATCACTTGCTTAATTACCCTAAATGAAAGATTCATTTGAATTCTTGTCAGTCAGTGGGCTTAAAATTTAATCCTAATTTCAATTGATTTTAATGGGTGGTTAATATGCTATATCATAAGCATTAATTTTAGTGTAAGAAGGCTTGCAAGCTCCTATATTAGAGATCAATAACTATATTAGATTTTTTTTAAAATCAGAATATCAAAATTATTATTATTTAGTCAACAAACATGGAGAAGCTTAGTTATGGTAGTCACTAGATCAAAATAACCCAAGTTCTGTTGGAAATTTTTGAATGCCATATATGTCTGCTTTCGCCAGCCAGCACTATTCTTGTACTGGTCCAGCACTTTTACTAACTTAAAGTCTGGGGAAAGACCTCAGCATTAGGAAGGTTTATTAAACATCATTTTCTAGTGACAGTGTGGCCCGTGTTGTATGGAATGGACAGGTCTAGTGGACTCCTGCCCTTGAGGAGCTTTATAAACTAAGATAGTGATTGACAGGAGGACACTGACATGGTTCGGCATTTACCCTTTGCAGAGCTAGAATGTAGAGAGTGAGGAGGGTGCTCACACCCGTTCTGTGGCAGGGTAATCAGAAAGTGAATGTGCGTGGTTGTCTCCCACCTCCATTTTCTGCTTTACTGCTCTCCTGCTTGGCTTAGATAATGATTAGGAGCTGAGATATTTATTTGGTTTGATCTTAAATGCTCAAATTCATACAAGTGGTAAGAAATAGCTGCTGTTAAGCTGTTTGCTAGTGAATAATAGAGGATTTAAGTATTGTGAATAAAGGAGTAATGAGTCCTCGCATTTGAATTTTGTCATTATTTCCCGGAATTACAAGGAACACTATCAAATAGTATTATCCTTAAGGTACAAGACACCGCATACAAAAGCAGGGTTTTAAAGGTTTTCCTAAAAATACAGTGAGCTGCGTATTAAGTGTTCATACTTGGTACTCCTTCCAGGATCCAAGGATTCCGCAGTGACAATGCTGTCAAGACTTTTCCGAATGCACGGCCTCTTTGTGGCGTCCCACCCCTGGGAAGTCATAGTGGGGACGGTGACGCTGACCATCTGCATGATGTCCATGAACATGTTTACTGGCAACAACAAGATCTGTGGCTGGAATTACGAATGTCCGAAGTTTGAAGAGGTTTGTGAGATTAATCTGACTGCTGACTCAATTACATTTTAAATTTCTCCTTTTAGAGACCATATGATCAAAAAAACTTATGAGTAAAATTTTTATTTCAGTATTCATAACTTACCTCAAATTTTCATTTACCTATATTTACTTGTATTTACTTATACAGATACTTTCCTTTTGCTTTTGGTATAGAAATGAGTGTAATTGACTTTACCTGAGAAATCTAGCTTTCCTAAGTAACTTAACAGTAAAAAATGATTGACTTAAACATTGGATGTTTAAAAATTGGGAGTTAATATTTTATTTGTATTTTAATATTTTATTTTACTTGTGCCTGCATTATCATGATGATACATAAAGTAATGATGCCATACAAAATAAAAATTATTATTTTTGATTTGGACTTTCTATTTCTCCCAATAGGATGTTTTGAGCAGCGACATCATAATTCTGACAATTACACGATGCATAGCAATATTGTATATTTACTTCCAGTTCCAGAATTTACGCCAACTTGGATCAAAATATATTTTGGGTAATAATTTATACATGAACCTTTTTGTGAGCTATCAAGTGTTTTATTCCCTGTGGAAATTTACCTGCTTAAATCACATGGGTGGAAATGTGTTTGTTGTTTAACGTGTGCTGCATGTATGCAGTAGTTTCATTTCTTTTCATTCGTTAGACATTCTGCTATTTGAGACCTTAATAATCTGGAGAAAATAATATTTCCTTCAGAATATTGTAGGACGTATGTTATTTGTGTGTAATAAGGGTGAAATTTTTTCAGTTTGTTGAATTTTGTCATTATAGGTATTGCTGGACTCTTCACAATTTTCTCCAGTTTCGTATTCAGTACAGTTGTCATTCATTTCTTAGATAAAGAATTGACAGGTTTGAAGTAAGTATTTAAAGCATAAATATACTTTCTTCCAAAATATATTGATAAGAACTTTTCTTCTCCATGTTATAAAGCATTGTAATATTTAAATTGGCGAAAGTTTATGGAAAATAAGGGGAAATTTTTCATTAAATCAGTTAGCTAATACCTGTTAATGTTTTGCTGTGTTTCGTTTCCCATTTTTTTATGCTTAAAGAAAACTTCTGAGACCGTGTTCTATATACTGCTTTATAACTCATGCCTATGAAAAGTTATAAACATCTTTGCATGTCCTTAACAGCTAGCTATTGAGTATTTTCCTGTGTGAATGTATTGTAGTTTATTTACTTAATCCTCTGAGTTGGATTTTTAGTTTATTTAATTTCTCCCATTAATGACAATACTGTGATAAATGTCTTTGTAGCAAATTTTTGTTCTTATTTTCCTAGGATACATCCGTAGGAGTGAAACAGTGGCTGTGTAGGTCTTCAGGGCTTTTAAGGGTCATTATTGCCAACTTAACTCTCCAGAAAAGTTGTTTAGTTTATCCTTCATAGACAGTATTATAATTAATGAGAAAAGAATTGCATACAGTATACTGGTTTTCCCTACTACCTGAAAATACAGCTCTCCTATGAAACCTTTTGTAAGTGAAGAAGCAATTACCTTAGAACACATCTTCCTAATGGATGCACAGAGTGTGTATCTTTGAACTCAGTCATGTTTGACTCTTTGTGACCCTGTGGACTGTAGCCCTCCAGGCTCCTCTGTGCATAGGAATTCCCAGGCAAGAATACTGGAGTGGGTTTCCATTTCTTCCTGCAGGGGATCTTCCCCACCCAGGGATTGAACCCAGGTCTCTTGCGTCTCCTGCGAGGCAGATGCATTCTTCCCCGCTGAGCCATGGGGAAGCTCTGGATGCACACAACAAGTCGTGATGCAGCACAGATGCGCTTCCGCGCTGTGAGCTTGGCGCTATGATGCTGAGCACAGATCCTGGGCAGTGCCACTCTGCTCCGGTGCCACGGCCCCTGTGTGGCTCCCTGCAAAGCAGACACTGCATGCTGTTTTCACTTCTCACCTTGTTTTTGTAAGAGTGAAAACCCTCTTTGGATTTCTTCTGGTTAGCAAAAATGAGTACTGTGTAGGTCTTTCATAAAAGTGAAGTGGAATAAAGTGAACTTTTGACAAGTGGGGGGGTACCTGTATTCCACTGTTTTCCCCCATACTAATTCACAAGAATGCATGCTGTTTTGCTATAAAATTATCAAAAGGTGTTTCTGTGTAAGTGTATTTACATTTTTAACATTAAAAATCTAATTAACATTAACATTAAAAATTTAACATTAAAAATCTTCTTAAATAGTTTGACTTATAAATTTAGCTTTGAGGTTGTCAGAGGAGTATAGGGTATACCTCTTGGTCTGCAAAAGGTACACCATGTGAAAGTTTTGTTTTAGGAAGGGATTTTTAGTGATATTTTTGCTTCTGTTAAATATACCTGATCACATTGTTTTTTTTCCCCCCAGCGAAGCTTTGCCCTTTTTCCTGCTGCTGATCGACCTTTCCAGAGCAAGTGCGTTGGCCAAGTTTGCTCTCAGTTCTAACTCACAGGTATTGTTGATGAGACATGAATGCAGGCGGTATTCTTTTCTCTCAGGCTGTTTACATTAATAGGAAAGATTAATAGAAAAATCTTGGACTTTTTCGCAGTCCATGATTCAGGAGTTGCATATAATTTTGTCCAGTCTTAAGACTGGTCTTCTTAGGTACCCTAGGAACTGTCCCATTTATTTGCCAACTCAATTGTAATTCCACAGCTTCTAAAATTTGGAATTTTCTCCATTTTCCTTTTTGAAGGTGTCAGAACATAAGGTATTATGTCTTTTGGATAAATTAGAGTATCTACCTATTGAAACGTATTAGAGAACAGACAGGATCTAAGGGAAGGATCTCAGGGTAGATTGATTTCTGAACCCCTTGAATTAACACTAGCATTATTTCATCATAAGTTTCATCTTGGTGTTCATTAGTCACTTTAAAGAATGTTAACATTTTTAGTAATACTGAGTATAAAAGATCATGTACTTCTGCCCTGAGTATGTATTTTATGAATATTTATGATCATTCGAGCATTTTGACAAGGATATTTAAGTTTCATAATACTTACATGATCTCAAAAAATTTTAAACTAAGAACTTGTGTCAGTGAGTGGTAGCCAAAATATAAAATGATGTAGGAATTTATGTGGGATATAAATGGCAGGACTAATATACTACCTCAAAGGAATCTTCCTAAGAAATAACTAATTCAGTGGGTGGGGAACGCAGAGCAGTGTACATATTCTTTTTTTAGACCTTTATATTACATTATTATTATTCTTTATATCTGGAATGCTTGTTAGTCTTATCATATTGTATTTTTTTCTTAATATAGTAAATTCGATTTAGTAAAAGCCCGGGGATGCTCTAAAAGTTTTTAAAGTTACCTCCTACCTTCTCCTCATTTGCTATGTTTGTCTGTTTTAGGATGAAGTGAGGGAGAACATTGCTCGTGGGATGGCAGTTTTAGGTCCCACCTTCACCCTGGATGCTCTTGTAGAATGTCTTGTGATTGGAGTTGGTACCATGTCAGGTTTGTAAACAATTTTTAATATACTTTAAAATTAATTTGTAGAAGAGAGAGAGGAACACATTATATTGTGTTAGTTATTCTTAAAGCCTGACTTAAAAGTCTGACATTACAAAAATTGAAAAATATTTAATTGTATGAATATGTAGATATATCTGATCTGACCTTTTGCGTGTCTGCTTTAGTGAAAACTGAGCAGGTTACTGATTTATTTTCGCTCTTACTATCTCAGCATCTTGTCTGGTGCTCCACTTTTTTGATGACTTTAAGATGTTTTTGTTTGGTTTTTAACCAAGATTGTGTTCTAGGCTCATTTAGAAAGCCATCTTCCAGCCCCTGATGTCATCTGGACTGACTTAATGACTTGGTTCCTTTTGTTTTAACTGTCATGTAGGAGACAATGCAAAAGTTGGGAGTTGGGCAGATCTAAGTTGGGTCCACCTAACAGAGTGGTTAGGAAAATTTAAGCAGCATGCAGTACATTTTAGCACTGAGCCAGCATTGACCCTAAAATACATGTTTATTCATCCTTAATTGGATAGTAGAGAACTAGATGTTAAACATCAAACATAGGACTCCATTATATAGGACAGAAATTATGGCCTCATGGAAATTTGCCAGAAAGAATATGTCATGCTGTTGTCATGATTTCCTCATCATTGAGACTAGACTTTATGGCTTTCTCATGAGGGCCACACTTGGCTAACTGCTCTTCTACTGTATTTCCCAGTGCCTTGGTGCCCTCAATAAGGGACTTTATTCTTTCAGAAGTAAATCAACTTTTAAGAGAGTAGTTAGTTGTCATTATTAGCTGAGGTCTGTTCACTAGATTGTGTATAAATATATATAATGTTTCTTCTAACTTTCGGAGGGTAAATTTATTATTTATTCATTTATTTAATCTATCACTCAAAACAAAACTTATTCAGCAAAGAATATTTTTTTTTAAAGTTTTAAAATGTAAATTTCTTAAAATTTACTTTTTTGGGGTATAGTTTTAAGTTTTGACAAAGATGTAGTCATGTAACTGCCACCACAGTCAAGAAAACATTTTTGACCAGGTGAAAATATAACTATGTGATTTTATTCAAGCAGAACAGTATATAAGATGAGAGGAACTGGTAGTGGGCTGTGAAACCAGGGATTATTCATTTGAAAACGATGTGGAAAGCAGTGGAAACTGATATGGGAAGTAGGGCGATGACTTTGGTCAGGATAAGGCATATGGATGAAGGAAATGACTCAATTTGATGTTGGAAAAGCCAGCAAGGAGGCATTTACAGCCATATAGAGATGGGAAATAAGTGATTTGGCTTAGAATAGAATAAAAGGACAGATTTAATACTTATTAACAAGGAAGTAACCCTTGGGAAAGTCAGTGAAAAAGAAACAAGTCTACTTCTTGGAAGACTATAGTGCTGTCCACGCGTAACACAGTGGCACATGGCCCTGGGCCAGAGTGAGGAAGGATGCCTGCAGGACCTGTGACGACACCAGTGGCTACTGCTGTACAGAGGGAAAGAATGGACAGCCGGGGGTTAGAGCACTGGGCAAGTATGGTTTTATAGTCTCAAGTTTGAAAAGAAAGTTCTGTTTGGCTATTTAAATGTAGGTTGTTCATAATGCTTTTGTCATTGTAATTTTGCATTCTCTTGAATTTCTGCCTTGAGAGTAATAGCTATAGAATTTTTAGGAAATAGAGTATATGCTTTTTTCTTTCATTTAGTCCAATGATCTAATACAATTCAGAAAATAAAACCCAATGTTGAAATTTTTTTAAGTTTTGTATTACTCTAGTTAGCAGTTTTTATGGGAGAAGGGGATCAATTTTTATATGTTTTCAAAACCTTTTTATTTTTAATATGAATAGCATCAGAAATATGTTTTATGTTTTATATTCAAGTTTATTTGTAAAGCAAGGGAGTACGATTTGATAATCTAATCTTTTCCTAGCTCTGTTCCCTTCTATTTGAGAAGATTACGAAATGACACCTGAAACATTTGTTAATTTTGGATGTTGGATTGCCTTTCTGTGTTACATCATGTTTCAAAGAGATCAATGAAATGAACTGAAATTTTAAGACTGTCAGTAGATACCACAGAGGTTGTGTTGAAATGACAGTTGTGTAGTGCACATAAAATATTGATTATGATACTGTATCAAGAATGACATAACAGGCAGTGTGTTTTACAAAAAGTCGTTGGTCCGCAGGTGGATTGGTTCTGTGGTGATGAATGGGGTTGGACTAGCAGGATAACGGGGTGGAAGGTGTTTGCCTCATTAGAGTTCTGTCCCTGATATATATCCTATCTCAAAACAGAGTATGGCCATCTGGTAAAACGGGTGACCGGGTGGCATTAAGCACTGCCGTGCCCGGCGCTGTGCCTTCGGGGGCTTGGGGGGGACGGGGTCTCTGCCCTTAGGGCGGCCGCCCCTGTGCCCTGGGGCTTCCCAGCGTGTCCAAGCTCCTGACCGCCGTTTCCAGTAGGTGGCAAGGAGCGTCGTATGCCAGTGTCTCACTCATTTGTCTACCTGTAGCAGGAGCCTTGTGATGCCGGCAGCCCCAGCAATCACAGTCCTACCTACTCCCTCGTTCACGCTCTCCTTCTCCTCTAACCAGGGGTGCGTCAGCTCGAAATCATGTGCTGCTTTGGCTGCATGTCGGTTCTCGCCAACTACTTTGTGTTCATGACTTTCTTCCCAGCTTGTGTGTCCTTGGTTCTAGAGGTAAGAACTGTTCTTACTTACGGCACTATAAAAGAGGATTTCTCATTAGACAGTCGGCAACTTCTAACATAACACTGACTTCCTTCATAGCTTTCTCGGGAAAGCCGCGAGGGCCGTCCAATCTGGCAGCTCAGCCATTTTGCCCGAGTCTTAGAAGAAGAAGAAAATAAGCCAAATCCTGTTACTCAGAGGGTTAAGATGATTATGGTAATTACATAGATTTCCTCTCCTCTCATTATCTTTGGTTCCAATATCATATTCTGCTTTTCAGGGTTTTTTTGCCTTTCTTCTTGTCTTTCTACAGTTTTTGGCTCTTTCACTGATATTCCTCTTCCTTTTTTTTTTCCCCTCTTATCTTTTTCCTCATTCCTTATGAGATCTCTGGTCTTCTCTCTGCTTTAAATGGATTTTTCAAATCCTTCCACTTTCTCTTTGCTTAAAACTCTGTTCTTTTGGGGGAATGTTCTCAGCCTTTCCCTGGGTCATCCCTTTGCTCAGTTATGTAGCAAACCTGGGGCTTTCTTTACCTGGTGAGGGAGGGCGTGGGAGGAAGATGGTGTTTGGTTATCCACTTGCAAAATGTGAGTTTAGGCTCCATTGACATGTAGAGGGTACATGGTTTTTAAATTTTTATTTCAGTCTCTAGGCTTGGTTCTTGTTCACGCTCACAGTCGCTGGATAGCTGATCCTTCTCCTCAAAACAGTACAGCAGACAATTCTAAGGTTTCTTTAGGATTGGATGAAAATGTGTCCAAGAGAATCGAACCAAGTGTTTCCCTCTGGCAGTTTTATCTCTCTAAGTAAGTTCCCTGAGCCCTACTTTGAATCACAGCACTCTATGCTTCTGACAGTTTAGGTTATGCCTTTTTTATTTCTGAGTAATAACATTTTAATTTGCTTTCTTTTATTTAGAATGATCAGCATGGATATTGAACAAGTTATTACCCTAAGTTTAGCTCTCCTTCTGGCTGTCAAGTATATCTTCTTTGAACAAGCAGAGACAGAATCTACACTCTCATTAAAAAATCCTATCACATCTCCTGTAGTAACCCAAAAAAAAGTCACAGACGATTGTTGTAGACGTGACCCTGTATTGGTCAGAAATGACCAGAAATTCCATGCAATGGAGGAGGAAGCCAGGAAAAACAGAGAAAGAAAAGGTGATTTCTTATTCTGTTCATTTTCCGTTCTTCCAGTGTTGATTTGTCAAGAAGTTGAGTCTTTTTTAAAGCACAATTTCAGCGTCTGAGATTTCTTTTGATTTCTTGAACAGTTGAGGTTATAAAACCCTTAGTGGCAGAAAATGACACCTCAAACAGAGCTACATTTGTGGTGGGTAACTCCTCCTTACTCGATACTTCCCTGGAACTAGAGACACAGGAACCTGAAGTTGAACTTCCCACAGAGCCTCGGCCTAATGAAGAATGTCTACAGATTCTTGAGAATGCAGAGGTGAGAAAATAGACTCAAGCTTGTTTCTTAAGGAGTTTTTTATTAAAGGAAGGAAGGAAGTTACAGCCTCTGAGTACCTGTAAGTTCTCAGCAGTGTTAGATGATTTACAGGTCCTGGTCTCATTATTTATTCCCTGCAACCTTGTAAGATAAGTATAGTTTTCTCCATTTTTCAGATGAGAAAATGTTGACTCTAGGAGGGTTAATTAAGTATGTCCCAAAGTAAAACCGAAAATGGTAAAGCTGGGATCAGGAGTCCAAGGTTTACTGACTGAAGACCCAGTGCCCTTTCTGCTATCATTTGATAAAGAGAGGAACAACTGCAGTATTCTGTGTGTTAAGGCCTAGGAAAGCTCCAGCGCAGAAATGAGCTTCAGAGGAAGAGGAGAGGTCTGAGGGCTTTTTGTTTGTTTTTGCGTTTTTTAAAGTAAGCTTGATGCTCCTGAGGATGCTTGTTATCTTTCTAATGTTTGAACAGGATGTCCTGCTGATAATCCCTGTTTGACTTAGGGGTTTAGCATGACTGTTACGTTCCATTCCTATCTGCTTACTCTGATTCATTCCGAATTTATGTGCATGTGAGTGAGAGTAGATTTTGTGTCTTTATCACTTTCCCTCATTCTTTTTAATATGTGTACCAGTATCTCAACTGCCATGCTACATACAAAACTTCTGGGGTGGGTGTCAGAATCTTAATTATGAAATTTTTCCCCCCTATGTATGTCATTTGCAAAATTTAGTGTTTTGGCTTAACATTTTGTTTAGCTTTTGCATTTTTATAGAGAATTTTTATTTTGATGTTCTCATTTCTACTCAAATCATCTCCTTCTTTAGAACTTCAAATTCCTTTGGGTTCTCAAAGTACTTGTATTTTAGTTCTGCAGAGAGCCCTGTTTGTATAAAATAGTCTTATTTATTATGAATAGTATGAAGTATGATTCTTCAAGTCTATTTTCATTTCCCTCTATCAACCCCTTTCCATTTTTTTTTTTTCCATTTCTTTAGAAAGGTGCAAAATTCCTTAGTGATGCTGAGATCATCCAGTTGGTCAATGCAAAGCATATCCCAGCTTACAAATTGGAAACTCTGATGGAGACCCATGAACGAGGTGTATCTATTCGCCGACAGCTACTTTCCAAAAAACTTCCAGAGCCTTCTTCTCTCCAGTATCTCCCTTACAGGGACTATAATTACTCCTTGGTATGTTATTTTCTTTATTTGAGCAGCTTTGCTTTATAGCTTTAGTCTTTCAGTCTTCTTCTTGATTCGTCTTTTAAACTTTCATAGTTTTATGAAACATTTTCCTTTTGAATTCATTTTACTGTAATTTTGTATTCAACTTATGGTATAGATCATCAAAATTCAAAAATACTTTCCCTGTTATTTACAGTCATTACTCAAGAGTTTAGTGTTTTCAAAACTTTTAAAGAGTAAATTAAAAAACTGATTGAAAAATACACTAAAGGATTAAGTTTGAAGGAAGTTACTAATGACAGGGGCTGGGTATTTGGAATATAGATTTTTACTTGGTGCCTGACTTTACCTTTTAGGTGATGGGAGCTTGCTGTGAGAATGTTATTGGATACATGCCCATCCCTGTTGGAGTGGCAGGACCTCTGTGCTTGGATGGAAAAGAATTTCAGGTTCCAATGGCAACGACAGAAGGCTGTCTTGTGGCCAGCACTAATAGAGGCTGCAGAGCAATAGGCGTAAGTAGGCATCTATGTGTCTGCCTCTCAAGATACTCTCCAGACAGTGAGCTGAGATTTGGGGACAGTCAAGGAGACCTTTTGGGACAAGGAGAATTGTTTTCAGGATTAATGTCTGCTCCTGTCACACCCTCTGGATAGCTTGGTGGAGGTGCCAGCAGCCGAGTCCTTGCAGACGGGATGACTCGTGGCCCAGTGGTGCGTTTTCCCCGTGCCTGTGACTCTGCCGAAGTGAAGGGCTGGCTTGAGACACCAGAAGGGTTCACAGTGATGAAGGAAGCATTCGACAGCACCAGCAGGTGTGTGGGGGCTGGGGGAGAAGGGGCTTCTGTGTGCATTCACATTTATTTCAGAGCCAGTGCCATACTTAGGATGGCTAAATGTAACTCTGAACATATTGCCGCCTTAAGATGATGTAACGAAACATCAATTTTAAATCCATGCTTTCAGAATAGTGATGTTAATTCTTGGCTGGGACGAAGTGGGTGGGGTGGGGTGGGGTGGGGTGGGCAGAGCAGAATATTGATTTCAGTGAATATCTACATAGAGGTTAATTAGAAAAAATAGTGTGAGCTAGTAAGTTTGTATGTTGGATTTACAAGGCTCATTTTGATTAGGCTATTACTTTGCCCTCGAAGAGTTATGATCTAAAATTGCCCTAGGGCAGGATTGCCTGAGAAGAAGATTTTCCAAGCAGGGTAGAGGTAAATAAATTAGTGTAGTAGATTTACTTTGATTACAGGAAGTTAAATTGATAAGGATAGTCAATATAAATGATAACCCCAAGTATAGTTCAAGCTTTTATGCTTGTTTTTATTAAGAACTTTTAAAGTTTATTTGTCATGAAATGACTTTCTGCACCCCTTCCTTCTTGTAACATGTAAGAATGAGATACAGCTGAAGCAGCATTCTAATAGAATGTTTAATTGAAGAAGAAAAGACTTTTAATATGTAGTCTCCATGAGTTTTCTCTTAAGTATAAAATGAACCAACTAAGCTAGACTTTAGGATAACGTCCATTTTCTTAAAAAAGTAAAAAAAAGTCTTTGCTTCTTTTGTTTAAAGGTTTGCACGTCTGCAGAAACTGCACATGAGTGTGGCCGGCCGCAACCTTTACATCCGTTTCCAGTCCAGGTCAGGTGATGCCATGGGGATGAACATGATTTCAAAGGTGAGCATGGATGCACTGTAACAGACTTTGCTGGAGTGATTATCCCTGAAGAGGGGAGCAGACTCACTCTTTATCCCCTACTATATTTTTGAATTTTATGCCCTGTGCACATATTACTTACTCAAGGAGTTAATTGATGGAAAGATTTGTATTGAAAGGTCAGTATTGATACATGTAGGTCATGTTATATAAATCAGGCATTTGTTGGTTGGTATTGTTCATATTTGAGATATTTAATCTGGACTTAGCATTGTGCATGTTCTGGGTCTACACTGAAGGGCCAGGAGGAATCTGGGGATTAGTGCTTCAAAACTTTGTCCTGTAAACTGAAAGATGACTTATTCTAGTTCATGTGTGTGTAGTTCCTTTAATTATCTCCTTATAAGAAGATTGTGTATAGCTCATCTTTTTTCTACTAATATTTGTTATTTTTCAGATAGAAATGTAAAATTTTAAAGTCAAGTAGTTAGGCTAATTGTGCTTTCCCAGTTATAAACACTATTCAGAAAGAGAATATAGTGACTAAATAGATATGCTTTAAAAATTTCCAGTAAATAGCAGTTCCTGAAGAAAAAATTACAAATAGAATTACTTTGACCCAGCAGTTCCACTTCTGGGTAGACACCCAAAAGAATTGAAAGCAGAGTCTCAAAAAGATGTTGGTATAGCCACGTTCATAGCAGCGTTCACTGTTGTTGAAGAAGCCCAGATGTCCACCCACAGATAAAGTGTGGGAGGCACATACAGTGGAATGTTATTCAGTCCTAAAAAGAAAGCAGAAAGAAAGAAAAGAAAGAGAAGTCGCTCAGTCGTGTTTGACTCTCTGCGACCCCATGGACTGTAGCCTGCCCGGCTCCTTCATCCGGGGGATTCTCCAGGCGAGAATACTGGAATGGGTTGCCATTTCCTTCTCTGGTGGATCATCCCGACCCAGGGATCTAACCTGGGTCTCCCACATTGCAGGCAGATGCTTTACCGTCTGAGCCACCAGGGAACCCCAGAAAAGAAGGCTGCCGCATGCTAACTGTGCGTGGGCCTGGAGGGTCAGCACTCAGCGAGAGGGCCTGGTCACATAAAGAGAAGTGCTGCGTGATTCCCCCTGAAGAGTTAGCTCGGTTAGTTAAGTCCACAGCAGCAGAAGGCAGGCTGGTTGCCAGTGGGTGCAGGGAGTGAGGAGATGGTTAATGTGCATAGTTTGTGGAGACTGCTGACACAGCAATGCGAAGGTTCTTACCAATACTGAACTGTACATAGAAAATAGTCAGGATGGCAAATTCTGTACTGTGTATTTTACCACAGGTAAAAAAAATTTTTAATTGGGTTTTTGAAGTATGAGTTAATTGAATTGATTTAACTTGATTAGAAGTCCTTGGAAGGCTTATTATATTCTATGTAAATCCACATTCCATTTACAAGACTTAGTTTAATGTTTGAGTTCTCTTTGCTGGCTTTGGTAACTTGGGCTTGTAGGTAACAATTAAATAACTAGAAAAGGGGATTTATGACATATTGGTTATGGATTGGAGTCCTCACCCCCAGTGACACGAATATAGTATTATATTCTCATTATATCCTCATCATACAGTTCATCAGTGACTACAAAGAACTTCATTTTCATATCAAAAAAAATAGGAAAAGATTATCATTATAGTTATTGTATTTAGAAGTGTTAGTATTATTAGATACCAAAAAAGCCTCCAATTCATAAATAATTTTGTGTGTTTTAATGTAGTTTTTCTTTTGTTTTCTTTCTTTGGCTAATAGGGTACAGAGAAAGCACTTTCCAAACTTCAGGAGTATTTCCCCGAAATGCAGATCCTGGCAGTCAGTGGTAACTATTGTACGGACAAGAAACCTGCGGCTATCAACTGGATAGAGGGACGAGGAAAGTCTGTGGTCTGTGAAGCTGTTATTCCAGCCAAGGTTGTCAGAGAAGTGAGTGGATGACGAGTTTATTTTGTTAATCTTTCACTGGATTACAGAATTGGGAAGAGAAATACTCACATTCTAAGTAAACTTGAACATATAGGTGTATGTTTTATTTTCAACATGACTGCTTCATTCACAGACCAAACGTTGCTGCTACTTTCTTTTGAGGTCAGGGCTTACATGGGGCCGCATCTACACTCCCTTGTTTTCTGGAGGCACTGAAAGTAGATCTGGTAACCCATTCCTCATCTTTGGGGGAAGACGTAAAATGTGCACAACTCTGTGTCCTAGGTATTAAAGACTACAACAGAGGCTATGATTGAGGTCAACATTAATAAAAACCTGGTGGGCTCTGCCATGGCTGGGAGCATCGGCGGCTACAATGCCCACGCAGCAAACATCGTAACTGCCATCTACATTGCCTGTGGACAGGTGAGGGCTCCAGTCTCCACCTTTCTTGTCTTTTGTTGTTCTAAAGAAAGAGAAGTTTTATATTTTTACTTTTTTCTTTTTCAGGATGCAGCACAGAATGTTGGTAGTTCGAACTGTATTACTTTAATGGAAGCAAGCGGTCCCACGAATGAAGACCTGTATATCAGCTGCACCATGCCATCTATAGAAATAGGAACCGTGGGTGGGGGGACCAACTTGCTCCCTCAGCAGGCCTGCCTGCAGGTGAGACATGTGGGGACACCGCCTACAGTCGCCCCGAGCCCAGTTCTGACTCGTTGAGGTCCTCTGTGTTGCTGCCTGATACCACATATCACTCCCCTCTCATTTCAGCGGTGTTTTCATTCGTTTCCCACCAGTCTAATCCAGTGTGGATAAGTGCACCGCTAGCCAGGCCACGGGTGTTAGGGTCACTGTAGTGTATCCACCGTATACTGGCTGTCAGATTTTGAAAACGTAGCACACCCTGTGGAGCCTGGTTCTGTTCTAACACTGCTGTTGTTGCTGGGTTGCTCAGGCGTGTCTGACTCTGCGGCCTGCAACATGCCAGGCTTCCCTGTCCTCCTCTATCTCCCAGAGCTTGCTCAAACTCATGTCCACTGAGTTGGTGACCTAGTTGCCCTCATTTTAGTTGGTTGAGTAGGAAGTTGTTGCCATGACTGGGAGGTTGAGTCCTGCTGTGTCTGTCCCTGGCTGCAGATGCTAGGCGTCCAAGGAGCGTGCAGAGACAACCCTGGGGAAAATGCCCGGCAGCTTGCCCGAATCGTGTGCGGCACAGTGATGGCTGGGGAGCTGTCTCTGATGGCAGCACTGGCAGCAGGTCATCTGGTCAGGAGTCACATGATTCACAACAGGTAAGACTTACAGATTCATTTGATATATTTTCCCTGTGGTTAAAATATGCAGTATAAAAACCTACCTGTCAGATAACAAGTCCCAGCTTATGATTTTGCATTCCTGATATTTTGCATATCTCCTTTTCTGCCTTAGGTCAAAGATAAATTTGCAAGACCTCCAAGGAACTTGCAGTAAGGAGGTAGCTTGAACAGCCTGACCGTTCAGAACTAAAAAACGGGCGTTGGGTTCTAAAGGACTAACATAAAATATGTGAATTAAAAAACTCAATGCAGTGTCGTGTTGAGAATGAATAGACATGATCAATGAGACGACTGCTTGGTTTTTGGCTCTTTCAGAATGATTGAGGTTCTTCTTTCCATGCAGAGTTCTCAGATCTGAAAACAGTTTACATGCTTTACATGCTGTGTCCTCTGCCAAGATCTCGACATGGATATTATGCCTTTATAGCATCACAGATGGTAATCTACAGCACACTTCTGAAGGAGAATACAGCTGGAAAAAAAAAACAAAACTGTTTTCTCTTCATGGAACTCATGGAGAACAGTGTGAGATTGAACCCTCCTCTTGTCCACACCCGCCTGGCCCCAACCCTGGGTTGAAAATGGATTTTTAAATTATATTGTAGCTGACAAAACTCCTGATTTCATAGTTAATTTATTAAGTCCGGGTTGTAGACCTTTAAGAAATAAGAGCTAAGTTTATTTTTTGTAAACTAATACTTCATTTGGTGCTGGTCTGTTTTGATTTTGGGGGAGAGCCAACATAATTCTTCAGAAGGGGATCTGCTTTCTTCAAAGGAAGAATTACTCTTATTCCCAGATTACAGAATAATGTGCTAAGCAGTGCTAAACAGTTCTCTTTCAAGAAAACAAATCACTGCGTTTATTTCTGCAGGCTATTCGTTCAGAGAGGACTCTTGTCTAAATATAAATGTTTGTCTAGATTGATTATAACATCTTTCAGTATATAAGGCTTTAAGAAGCAGAGTTTTGTGCTCTTTATTAAAGATACAAGAGCTCTTAATATTGCTTAGACAAAGGTGACTATTTATCAATGACATACAAGTCTGTGACCTCTCTCAGAACTCAGAGGGTGGAAAAGGACAGGTTTGGAAGAAAATTTACCATTTCTTGAAGCCAACTTAAAATATTTCTTAAGAGACATCAATTTATTTAGCTGAAAAATCTAGGTAGTTTTTTGTAAAGAACTGTACCAAATCTGTATATGTTGTAATAAAGTTTCTTGTGCTAGGAGTTTATTGAAAGTGTTCAAGAAATAAATAAAAATCAACTGATATTCTGGTAAAATACTCTTAAGCTTGGGCCAGAGCAGACAGTATTCTTTAATGTTGTCCAGGAAACCCTGGCTTGCTTGTTGAGCCTAATGAAGGGGAGAGTCCTCTTTGAGAGCCAGTGAAGGCACCGCATGAATGGCCTTGAAGGGAGTGTCCCTTGTCCTGTGGCCAGGAGGTTGGTGGCTGAAAGGTTCACATGGGGCTCTTTGATGGACCTACAAAAGCTTCCTCAGGGGGTCAGCAGAGTTGTCGAATCTTAATTTTTTTTAATGTATAACTTTTGTATAAATAATAAAGAATTCCTTATTTTGTATTACATCAAATGCTTCAAGTGTTGGTCTTGGAAAGCTGGAGGCTCATGCGGAAGATGGACTTTGAGAACCATTCCCGTCATGCCATGGCAGCATGGGGAGCCGGAGTGGTGGTGTCTGCTTTATTGTTGGGAAGACTGACATTTTCTGTTGTATGTAAAAGTTTAAATTGTTTCTGTTGTGACTTTTCAGCCAGTGACTTCTTTATCTGAATTTTTTATGGAGGTGGCAGTGAAAAATATTTTGGGTCCTCATTTTGGTGACTGTAACCCATATCATCTTGCTAAACTGATGTTTTGTACAATTACTAAATTGTATACATTTTGTTATACTTTTCCCCCCCAGTTCCAGTAAATTATGAAAAGGAAGTTAATACTGATAAGTGTAAGCAGTAACTATTTTTTTGTTTGGATTAACTATAGGCCTGTCTGGGATTTAGAAGGCTTTAAAGTGTGGTCAGCGTGGTACCTCTAACGTGAATTGGTGTCCCAAGACCATTTATCATTCTCCATAATCTTCTCCAACTTTACAGGAGCGGCAAGCCAGTTTAGTACGTGCATTAAGCCTATCTTCCTTATACTTTGAATTGTTCAGATTTATCCTCTCAGCTGGACTACTTTTGGGTATGAGGGGTGTGACGCTTAGCTGAGAGGGAGAAGCCATGAAGACTGGACAGCCGAAACCAGACGGCCATCGCGTGAGCGCACACAAACTGCCCCGCTGGGTCAGCGTAACGCAGCTGAGGCGGGCCTCCTCAGACGCTGATCCTGTTTACGCACGATCTCTGCCTTCACACATACACGCTACACACATACACATCTCACACACACACACATACACATCACACACACACACACACACACACACACACACACACACACACCCCTGCTGAGTCAGCGTAACGCAGCTGAGGCGGGCCTCCTCAGACGCTGATCCTGTTTACGCACGATCTCTGCCTTCACACATACACGCTACACACACACACACACACACACACACACACACACACCCCTGCTGAGTCAGCGTAACGCAGCTGAGGCGGGCCTCCTCAGACGCTGATCCTGTTTACGCACGATCTCTGACTTCACTCACACACTCACACACACACACACACACACACACACACACACACACCCCTGCTGAGTCAGCGTAACGCAGCTGAGGCGGGCCTCCTCAGACGCTGATCCTGTTTACGCACGATCTCTGACTTCACACATACACGCTACACACATACACATCACACACACACACACACACACACACACACACACACCCTGCTGAGTCAGCGTAACGCAGCTGAGGCGGGCCTCCTCAGACGCTGATCCTGTTTACGCACGATCTCTGACTTCACTCACACACTCACACACACACACACACACACACACACACACACACACACCCCTGCTGAGTCAGCGTAATGCAGCTGAGGCGGGCCTCCTCAGACGCTGATCCTGTTTACGCACGATCTCTGCCTTCACACATACACGCTACACACATACACATCTCACTCACACACACTCACACACCCCTGCTGAGTCAGCGTAACGCAGCTGAGGCGGTGTGTATGAACCCCTAAGAACCAAGCCCAGATATTTGAAAATCATTTGGTGACTGGTGATCACTTGTCCGGTTGGCCCCCTCAAGAGAGGAGCGAGGAGCAGGCTGGGCAGGAGACAGGGAAGGAATTTCATCTCCTTACTGCCTGGCTGATTGGATGAGCAGAAGGATGTACTGGGCAGCACAGGTTTTCCTCATCTCAGAGGCTGGCGAATTAAATCCAAAGAGAACCTCTCACATTGAAGGGTCTGAGCTAAAGCGAGAGGCCACAGTACAGCAAAACCTCAATGCAAATCCGCTGGGTACAGAAGACTGAAGTGAAAGCAGTAAATTCACTTAATAGGAATTCTTAAGACCCAAGTTTCTCAAGCTGTCCTCTCTATTCGGACATGAGTTGAATTTAAGAAAGAACTTTGCCCAGTTAGCAAAAAAATAATAGAAAACTTCTATACTGTAAGCCAGAAGAAGATAGCAAGTGACTTAGTTTCTATTTCAGCAGAGTCCCGTCTCATGATGTGCGTGGAGCCCTGCCTCATCACACATACACATGCTTTTTGTCCTTTTCCTCCTGAGCAAGTTGGGAAGCTGCTGAGGCAAGTGTGGGCCCTCAGGCTGTGCAGCCCTTTCAGACTGTTGTTCTCTAAGGCCGGCGGAAGCCTGGCGCCTCCAGCTGGGGTTCGGGTGGGATCAGGTGGTTACACAGTAGGTGCCTTCAACCTGACCGACCCCTGGTCTGGCATGGGGCCAGGACGCTGGCAGATCTTTCTACTGGTGCGGCTGCTGCTCTAATAGTCCTGGATTTCAGTCTGAGGGGCACGGTATGATTGTGAACATGTTGCATGAGAAACTTGTGTCTATCCGGAAGCGCACAGTCAGCAGACTGCCACGGAGAGGCCAAGTGCTGCTTAATATTAAAGACAGAGTTAAAAAAAATTAATCTTGAAGATATAACCAACTAGAAACTAGTATGGTATTTGGGTTTGTGTCTCCCATCTGTGACCCCTCCCCGCCCCCCCCAAATCACCCGAGTTCTCCACATTTTCAAAGGATGGTATGACTGTCCCAGAAAAAGACATTTATAGCCCCCCATCCCCCTCACTTTCCTTCCCCTTGGTCTCTGCTCTCTCTCCCAAAGGGCCAAATAACACAGTAGAGGGCCAAAGGGGAAAAAAAGGTCCACCTCTCAAGAGGTTTGCGCAGATAGCACTCCCCACTCACTCTTTTCCCCTCCCGCACTCTAGCTCTGACGGCCTAGCACTTGAACTTCCCAGGATGGTGGCTCTGGAGTAGGATTACTCAGATGCAAGGAGCTGATCATCCCACCAACCATTCAACTGGTTACTTCTGAAGCCACATGGCCATGCGCCTAAGGGTGGGAGGGCCCTGTGCCAACTGCGGACATAAAGCACACAGGCAGCTGTGTGTTGTCGCAGACACTCGGCGGGAAAGCATCAGGACGGGAGTCCGAGGACGCTACAGGCACCAGCTGTGTTGCCCCCTTGCTTTCCTGTCACTTGAAACGGCTTCCCTGATAGCTCACGTTGGTAAAGAATCCGCCTGCAGTGCGTGAGACCTGGGTTCGATCCCTGGGTTGGGAAGGTACCCTGGAGAAGGGAAAGGCTCCCCATGCCAGTATTCTGGCCTGGAGAATTCCACGGACTGTATAGTCCAGGGGGTCGCAAAGAGTCGGACAGGACTGAGCGACTTTCACTTCACTTGAAACGAAAAACAGGTTAGTGGGTGAGGTGGGAGGGACAGGGAAGGGAGCAAGTCTGTCTCAGTCACCACTGTAAAATCAGCTGGGATTGTATGTGAGAAATGGGACACTAAAGCAAATCCAGAGGACCGTTAGCTCTAAATGATGCGCGATGGCAGGACTACTCTCCCCAGCTGTCTCCTAGCCTGAGGGGTCACAAAGGAGATCAACACCGGCGCCCCACCTCCCCGCCCATTTCACCACGGGGACAGGGGCTGTAGCCTCAGGCTCTTCTGATCTAGGGTATGACCTGTGAACAACCTGCCTCA